CACACACACACACACACACACACTCTCACACCAGGGCCAGTTTTCCCAGAAGCCAGTTAACCCACCAGCATGGTTTGGAATGTGGGAGGAGACCCAGGGAGATGTACAGACTGCAGGCAGGGGGACCCCAGCGCTAACCCCTGATCCACAGTCCAGCCCGTTCAATTCCCAGCTCGGAGATGGAAGGTCTCTCTGGGTCTGCTTGTCCTGTACACAGCTGCGAAGTCCAGAGCCAGTGGCAGGAAGGGGCCAGTCAGAGATTCCAGCTGAGTGCGTGATCCAGACTGGTCCAGGATCCCTGTCGGTCGGCCCCAGTATCACAGCGTCTGCCGCAGCTATTCTGAGCCTCAGCTGTGAGCGCAGACAGCTCCCTCCCCTGCGATTCAGTGAGAATTCACAGCGACGCTGCAAATTGTGCACCAGTCGTTTCCTCTGCCTGTGATTAACAGCTACAGCGAGCGCATTAGCAGCCCGGCTCAGGGGGCGGCCCGGCAGCGCCCAGCAGCGCCCGGGCGCGAGTGCGTGTCCCGGGGCGGCGAGGCTGTGAGCTCCGGCTCAGAGCGTCGCGCCCAGCGGGGTCTCCCGTCACACTCCGTCGGCACGCAGCGACACATTCACAGCTCGGCCCACTGCCAGGACTAATACAGAGCCCATTAGCGACTGCAGGATCCATTAAAATCAAACACTTGTTCAGCTGCTACAATCTCAGACGCAGGCGCACAGCCACTCAGTCACACGGAGGCCTGGCTCACTCTGTGGTGTGAGAAGCTCGCAGCCAGTCTGGGCTGTACTGTCAGTGGTGACCGAGGGAGACAGGACTGGGAGAGACTGGGAGAGACTGTGTGAACACTGATCTGGGGAAGGTATTTTGCAGTTTCCTGAACACGCAAATACTGACCTTCCTTATCGAACACAACGTCCTGAGTAAGAGTCAGACTGGCTTCTTACCAAATCTCTGCACGTCTGATCACATTTACACCCTACACACACTGATAGACAAACACGTCCACTATAAAGACAACGAAAAAAATGTGCCTCCTTTATTGATTTCATGAAAGCATTTGACTGGATTTGGCACAAAGGGCTGTTTTATAAAGTTCTTCACATTATAAAGTGGCATAGGGGGTAAAGTGTACAACATAATTAAATCAATGTACTCAGAGAACAAATATGCAGTGAAAATTGCTGAGCCAAGAGCTTAGCCCAACAAAGAGCCCTCTGAGCCAGCTGGTCCTGAGGCTCCCTGACCCAAGCCACACCGACACCAGCCAGCCTCAGGACAGCACTGCTAGAGCACCACAACTCAGACTCAAGCACATCACAGCACAGATCAAACAGCAATATCTCACACACTGGGACGCACACACACACCATAAACTAGAATGCTACAAAATCCTACACACTAGCCGAATATCTAACCAAGCTAAATAACAGCAAAGAGAAACAGACCCTGACGAAGTACAGGATCAGTGACTACAGCCTTGCCATAGAAACTGGGCGACACAGGCAGACCTGGCTGCCCAGAGAGGACAAGCTCAGTGACCACAGCCTGGCCATAGACACTGGACACAGGCAGACCTGGCTGTCCAGAGAGGACAGGCTCAGAGACCACAGCCTGGCCATAGACACTGGACACAGGCAGACCTGGCTGCCCAGAGAGGACAGGCTGTGCTCCCACTGCCAATGGGGAGAAACAGAGACAGAGGTGCACTTCCTACTGCACTGTGACAGATACTCTGGGATTAGAGAAGCATTCTTCCCCAAATTAAGAGATCTAATTGTAGCATTACCAAACCTAGCAGAATCAGAACAGCTCCTAATCCTACTGGGAGAGGGAGGAGGGATATCAGTTGAACTGACAGCATAGTGTGTGACCTCCTGTCCCAGCCTGAGGAACGGTGAGCCTGTCTCTCAATAATGCTCCATTTGTTTGTATGTAAATGTATTATGATGTGTCTGTGTTGTAAAAGTTCTGTAAATGTCTGTAGATGTTGTGTTAATTCTATTTGTTTTGCTTTGCCAACACGGATGTATTCATTGGTCATGCCATTAAAGCTTCTTGAATTGAACTGAGAGAGGACTGAGTGGTCATGCTGACACATCTTTCATATCTGCAAGTGGTGGTCGGGCCCAAGAACAAGCCACCCAGCCATGACGTTGAGACCGATACCCTGGTTCTTTCAAGAAACGCCTGGATTTAAATTAGCTAAATGGGCCAGTTGACCTCATCCCTTCTTTTTTGTCGGATGTTCCCATGCATGATCCATCTGTAGATTGTTAGGATCTTGATAAACACGATACAGGACGATCAGTGGGGCCTGAGGCTGTGACCCCCTCACTACTGCAAGAGGAGAGCTGGGGAGCTCCGCAGGGGTGTAGACAGGCAGGCAGTGGGGGCGTTGCGAGAGAAGTACACAAAGGGACGTCCTGGGTGCGAGACGTATTCTTGTAGGCGAGCAGAAGCGTGTGAAATCAGGATCGAGCCTTCCCCCAGTGCTGTGGAAACGCAGGAAATTGCCTTGCAGATCTGATCCACCCCTGATTCTGTTTCTGCTGCTAATTCCACAAGTGGCCACAATGACTTTGCTGCAGAGGGACCAAGATGTTATCAGCTCTGTGCGAACTTTTTAAAAGTGCCTTTCACAGTCAGAAGCACTGATCTACAAGTGATGGAGCTCCTGGAGTGTGCCAGGATCGAGAGTCTGTCTCGGGGTCGTCCTCAGGCCCTGGTGCTCCTGCCCGGTCAGGGGTGCCGGTGGCGGGCTGGATGCCCCAGCCGTGCTCTGGGGGGCTGGAGGAGGGTTGTGGCAGCATTGGGGCTCCAGATGCCCCCTCCTCCACAGCCAAGCAGCAGGGTGATGACTGTCCATTGACCAGCTAGGAGGGCAGAGGGTTTCACTCATTTTCTGCTGCATTTCTGTGTCAAGACAGTTTTCTTGACAGAGTTAAATGAACAATATTGTATTGGTATGTATAGTTTTATTTGTGATGCATTTATTAACTTAATAATTTGTATTTAAGGGTTCGTGAGTTCATAAGAAATTATTACAGGTACAGTTAACATCATGGCTGAACACCCCTCACAATCCCAATAACCAGAGTTTATTACACAAGCAAGCACGGGATGAGGCAGAACAGTACAGTCACTGCCAGCTTATACACAGAAAATTGTACAAATATACATAATTCTTTAAGATATCATATTGCACAATCAGACACCCCCCTCTCTGTATTTATACTCAGTTAACATAAAACCCCCCTCTCTGCATTTATACCCTGTTCATATATCACCCCTCTCTGCATTAATACCCAGTTCATATATCACCCTCTGTATTAATACCCAGTTCATATATCACCCTCTGTATTAATACCCAGTTCATATATCACCCCTCTCTGTA